GGTCGAGTTAGTTTAAAATTTTTTTTAAAATTATAGATTGACTTTTTAGACTTTTAATAATTCAATTTAAATCCTATTAAAAATCTTTAAAAAAAATATAGAATTAAGATTATCCAAAAATATTTTAAAATTAAAATAGTTTATGATAGAAAAATAGGATAAAATTTCAAATAAGGTTTTAAATAATTTTATAAATTCAATAAAAAAGACATGTGAAATGATAATTGTAAAGAAAAGTAAAAGAATTAATTTTATATTAATAAAATCTCTAAATGTTCAATCTTATATTGATATATTTTTTATTGATTACTGTACAATAATTTTTTAATAATAAATATATAAAAAGTTCCAAAAAGTTTTGTTACACACTTTATATGTATATAATGTTTATAGTTTCTTTTTTCTCAATTTGTAAAGTTTTTATCTAATTATAAAATCAAAAAATGAATTTAATAAAACATAAATTCTATTTATTCATGCTACGTTGTACATAGAACACTGCGTAATATACATTCAGTATATTGATCTAGTTATTTATTATTTGAAATAATAATTAATATTTAGTATATACGTAATCTAATCTAATCTTTGTACAAAAATATGTTAATGGTTTTCGCCGCGTGGAATGCTGTGCTATTACCGCATTCTAAGGATCGACATTGATGATCTAAATTCCGTGTCACCTGCCTGTGCAATAAATGCAAACACAAATTTATTATTATTGAGCACTCTATTGTTACAATTATCCATTCCGTTTCACAAATCATGAAATAAATTGTTAATTAATTTTGGTATGGTGACAAGGAAATAATACAGAAAGAGAAACGATAAGAGATTGAGGACATGAGATTATTAATAATTATGTAAATGTTATCATCAAAATGTATACGAAATAATTCTTAATCACTCTCGTAATCTGGATCAGGATTTGCCACAAACAACCTTCGACCCCCGCTTCCAATCATTTCGTCTTCTTCATTTTCCGCCGGCGACGAAGTTGGATGGTCGACACTGGTCGACAAACTTTCAAATATCCTTCCTCGTACGCTACCGGTATTATTAACAGACGACCTTCTTAATGTACCACCCATAGTGTCCGCCGGTGGAGTG